ACCTAGATACATCTAGATACACCGCTATCCAGATACATCTAGATACACTATATCCTAGATACATCTAGATACACTAAAACCTAGATACATATAGATACACTATAACCTAGATACATATAGATACATTATAACCAAGATACATATAGATACACTATCACCTAGATACATCTAGATACACCGCTACCCAGATACATCTAGATACACTATATCCTAGATACATCTAGATACACTAAAACCTAGATACATCTAGTTACACTATAACCTAGATACANAAGATATACTATAACCTAGATACATCTAGATACACTATAATCTAGATACATCTAGATAAACTATAACCTAGATACACTATAACCTAGATACACTATAACCTAGATACATCTAGACACACTATAACCTAGATACATCTAGATACACAATAACCTAGATACACTATAACCTAGATACATCTAGATACACTATAACCTAGATACATCTAGATACACTATAACCTAGATTTATCTAGATACACTATCATGAGAAGAAAAGCCACACTGCCTAGGTGTTCCTCTATATCTACATCTACACATCGCAAAGCAGCTGAAAACGTCTTGACTAATAAAAGCACAACGGTTCATCATTACAATAATTGTTTACCGTTTATTTTTAATAGACTGCCTAGAAGATTGCCTGTGTTTAGCAAATGTCTGTCTATATTCACATTTCACTGCAAGTTCCACAATAAGCAGTACAAAAGAAATTGTGTTGAGAGAGCTTCTGTATGAACTCAATTTGATCAAGGTCATTTTGAAGCTTTTCCTCCCGCCTCAAATAACGTGAGAGGCAAACATTTTGGTGACGTTATGCTGTTCAGGGGATCTCATTTACACAGACCTTTCAATAATGAAAGTGTAAAGGAATAGCTGTATTCAAATCAATAATATAACATCCAGTTAAGTCAAAAATAATTGTTTCTTTTAAACTAACAACCTGCCTACAAAGGTCACTTTAAAATCGCTTCTGTCTTTTCCTTTGGACAGCCTTTATGAACTATATCCGATCAGCAACCTTAGTATATCAAAACTTGGCTTTCGACTTTTTACTTCACCATTATAGTCCCAGTTTTCAATACACAAAAATTACTATTTCCCAAACTTGTATATCTGTAGATTAAGAAAACTTTAAACAGATCTGTTTGTGTAAATTTAATCAGCGAAAATGCCATTCACCTGAAATCAAAACTTACAGTACTATATGTATCCCGAAATAAGCCCAGGGGGCCCAATGCATAGACTCAAAATAGGGGTTGGGATTTTTTTGCAGGACAGTGAAATAGTATTTGTCTTTCTATTGAACAAACATATTTTGGGTGGGCTTATTACCAGGCACAGGCTTATTGCCAGATAAATATGGTTTACAGCTACTAGAAAACACAAGCATGTCAGACAAGAAATCTCTACAAAAGCTTGATCACAATAGCATGTCACCCGTCGGTGTTAAAGCAAACAAACCACGCTTCACACCCAAAACCTTACATGGCATCTCATGCAGTCCATCATCCTTCTTTGCCCAGCCCCCTTTGCTTGACTGACCAATCGCAAACGGCATAGCTCGGAAAAGCTCCGAGGGAGGTGGGTCGACCAACTGAAGTGTGGCTCTGAACAAGCCTTGTGGTTTGTCAATCATCTGCAGCGAGGCATGGAACACGCCAGCTGATTGGTCAACACACAATGGCTGGGGATTGTATATGGCAGCTGATTGGCTGATTTGGAGAGGCATGGAACTGTAAAGTCCCTGAGAGTAGTTGAGGGAATAATGGGAGGCTGCAGGATAAATTTTAGACATGTGATCTGATGGATGGGCCATATCAAAAATTGGGCTGGTAACGAAATTAGCTTTATTTTGCATGATGTTGTGTGATTGGTCAGTCATAATGGGCTTGCTCTGATATATCCCTGTAGAAAAGGTATTGAAAGTGTTAATAATGAATACATATTCTGCAATATTGTTAAGGTTCTGATACAAGGAGATTAAATACACTTTGATTAAAAAATTCTTAAACAAACATATATAAACCTTACTTGACCATTGATAATAAACTTTGATGGAAATCACTTTTTTTGACCCTAGCATTCAATTAAAATTTACCTTATTGAGTGCTTTTTACAATACAGTTGAACCTGTCTCAGTGACTACCATTATTAAGCAGATTTCTGTCTTATATATGACCATATCTTAACTCATTCACCCCTGAAAGTTCATAATGAACCATTCCAACCTTTGAATTGGAAGAGTTCAAATGTGTCTTCAGGGGTGTTTGAGTTAAAGTCCCACCTTTATTAAGAGACTACCTGTCCATTGTGACCTTTTTTTTGTGATCCCTTTAAGAGCCACACAAAAGAGAACTGACAGTATGTTAACTCATTTGCATAATCTTTCGTTGGTGATAAAATATTTGTAGTTTGTGGTTAGTTTTATGGGCATTGACATTGTTTCCCATTTAAGTTCATGTCAATGCATTAGTTTCTCTAATTATGGAAGTGTCATGTCACACACTGAGATTTCACAGTATTCCAAATGGCAGTATGCATTACCATACCCTTCCGAGTACTACTCCATAAAATCGGGCAGAAACGAACAAGACCTAGTTAAAATGAAATCATCACCAATGACACGTTTATGAAATATTTTTACATAATTTTCTACAGATGTTTTCCATATTCAATACATCTTGCAATGCATTTTACCGAGGAACATTTCAAGATTTTTATATTTGAGGACAATAACTCAGTATGTTAATTCATTTATACAAATAGGCACCAACAATGATACAGGACCCTGACAGTCCCAACAGGAGGTGACTGTACCTGATAAAGTGTGTTTGTCCTTGTGAGGCAGACCTCCGTTCACCTGACCATGACCATTTACTGCAGGACCAGACCTGAAACAAGAAATGACAAATATATTTTCCTGTTTTGATTAATTTGATTTGATTCTTCAAAACTTTGAATTGATATTCTTTTATATTTTTTTTGCAAATAAAAATAGCAACAAATTGATTTTGGCAACAATGACAATTAAAAGTCAAAGTTATTACTGTAATCACTCAACCATGACAGGTACAGGTCACAGTTGTAGTGTTGTCGCTCAACCATGACAGATACAGGTCACAGTTGTATTGTTGTCACTCAACCATGACAGGTACAGGTCAGTTGTTTTGTTGTCACTCAACCATGTCAGGTACAGGTCACAATTGTATTGTTGTCACTCAACCATGACAGATACAGGTCACTGTTGTATTGTTGTCACTCAACCATGACAGGTACAGGTCACAGTTTTATTGTTGTCACTCAACCATGTCAGGTACAGGTCAGTTGTTTTGTTGTCACTCAACCATGACAGGTACAAGTCACAGTTGTATTGTTGTCACTCAACCATGACAGGTCCAGGTCAGTGTTGTATTGTTGTCACTCAACCATGACAGGTACAGGTCACAGTTGTATTGTTGTCACTCAACCATGACAGATACAGGTCTCTGTTGTATTGTTGTCACTCAACCATGTAAGGTACAAGTCACAGTTGTATTGTTGTCACTCAACCATGACAGATACAGGTCACAGTTGTATTGTTGTCACTCAACCATGTCAGGTACAGGTCAGTTGTTTTCTTGTCACTCAACCATGTCAGGTACAGGTCAGTGTTGTATTGTTGTCACTCAACCATGACAGATACAGGTCAGAGTTGTATTGTTGTCACTCAACCATGACAGGTACAGGTCAGTTGTTTTGTTGTCACTCAACCATGACAGATAAGGTCACAATTGTAGTGTTGTCACTCAACCATGACAGGTACACAGGTACAGGTCAGTTGTTTTGTTGTCACTCAACCATGACAGGTACAGGTCAGTTGTTTTGTTGTCACTCAACCATGACAGATACAGGTCACTGTTGTATTGTTGTCACTCAACCATGTAAGGTACAAGTCACAGTTGTTCTGTTGTCACTCAACCATGACAGGTAAAGTTCAATTTGTTTTGTTTTACCACAAGAAATGTTGATGCATGCATGCTTTAACTGCACTTTTTATCTAAATATTATATAAATTAACTTTTTTAGTTCTTTTAAAGCAAAACTGCTCATGAAATTATTAAAACTGTTTACAAGATTGTTCATGTCATACTAGGTGTTCATGTCATACTAGTTATCCTTGGAGTAACACCTGGAATTCCTCATTTTTCATTATATTATTACTTACCTGTGAAGTTGCAGCTTAAGATCCTGATTGGCCGTTTTGATGATTTGCTGGGCGTCGCCATGCTGCAGACCGGCTGCCTTCTGACCATTAATGGCCTCGACATAGTCACCCACAGCTATGCCCTCATTATAAGCCTTGCTGTTTGGATTTATCTAAAAAACACAAAGGTCATAAGGTCAACAACTTGATAATTGTAAGAACAAACAAAGGTCAAAGGTTGTTGAGGGTAAAAGATTCACCTGTAAATATATAGGTTAAGTAAATGCATAGCCCTATAAACAAAGCTAACAGCCTAACAGGCCAATGACTGCACTAGATACAAAGTTCACAGGTCAATGCTTTCCCTAGAAACAAAGTTCACAGGTCAATGATGGCCTTAGATATAAAAGACACAGGTCCATGATGGCCCTAGGTTCAAAGGTCACAGGTCAATGGTGATATCCTAGAGATAAAAGTAAAAGATCAATGATGTCCTAGATAAAAAGGTCACAGGTCATTGAATCCCCTCATTCAAATGGCATAGGTCAATGATGGCCTTAGATGCAAAGGTCAAAGGTCAATGATGTCCCTTGATAAAAGATCAATGATAGTCCTATAGCTATATTTAAGGTTAATGTCTGACTGCCCTCGATTCAAGGCCAATGGCTGCCCTAGATACTCTTTCAGACAGAAATCAAAGCTCAAGAGTTATTGTTGGTCCTTAGTTAACACATGGGTCGCAGGAGCAAAGGTCACAGGTCATGGGTGGTCCTAGCTAGTGTCACAGGACTTTATGATAATCCTTAAGATACATTTCATATACAGTATATACAAAGACACAGGAAATAGTTTATACAAATTCACACATGCAGCATCTTTCTAAATGAGGGGTCAAATGCCATAATAAAGGTCATTAACACTGACCCCATAACTTTTAACTTATTCTTTGGAATCAGACTCATATATGACAATTTCTCCTACCCAGATAAGTAAATAAGGAATGAACAGATAAAAAACATTTAATACATTCATATTTTCGTATCTCCTTAATAAAAAAAAGATTATATTGTTCCCCTTTCGTCGAAATGAGGAATTCCCCTTCCCTCAAATTAGGGAAAATCAAGTGAATTTGGAGAGGTAGTCTCCAAAGAAACCTTATGGCAAAAAAGCGGGAGTATTTTAGGAAATGCACTAAGTACATCCCATTGTCAGTGGAAGAGAACGTGTCTATTTATGTATCTCGCAAAAAAACCCATTGTGAATATGTATGAATCCCTTGTGTATTTTCCGATTTGGAAGCCAGTAATGCACGTATAATCGTTTTAAACGCATTTATCTTCGTTCCTCACATTCTTTTTCGTGTAACAGAAATGTTGTCTTAATATTTCTCTTAAGAGTTATCTGTCCTTTGCTAGATATGACGCAAACAAACTCGTAAATTCTGCACAATTTTGTACAACGCAAGAAACATCAACCTGTGTTCGTATTCAATTACACCTGAAACTCAGTAACGCATGCAAAGGTCTATTTTTGGAGATTTGGTTTTATACATGTAGGAAGAAGTTTATTCCCTAAATAACTTGTCTGTCGGCTCGCCTTACAGTTTTCCGTCAATTTGTGTGTTAAATCGTCCGTGGGGCATCTGTTAATACATAGTCGACCCTCTCTTGCTTTGTGGTAAGAATTTCATCAAGACCACTGGTGCGATTATGGCAAGATGAAGAATTAGTAATCGCTGCCTATTTTTTTATCTCGCTCTTTCAATAATAGACATGTATTCAAATTAAGAAAAAATCTTTCGTTGCTCTATAAAATGTCTGTACACCCACTCCTAACATTTCCCCGACCATGTTGGTGCTTTGTAAATATGAACAGCACACATGTTTACGATTATATGCAGCGTGCTGAACATGTTTTCCCCTACAGGAACACTTATATATTACTTGCTATGTGTATTTTTACAAAATATCTTCTCTCCACATTTTCGCTATTTTAGCTATGTACAAAATGCTTCAGTTTGAATAACAGCAACTCGAATATAATGGATGAACACTGTAGCTATACAATATATATACAATATATATATGCAAACCAATGGCCAGTCTATATGTATATCGTAGAACCTCATTTCAGCATTCATACAAATATTCAACTGAGGGATTTTAAGGGACTTTAAATTCACAAGCATTTTTTCGAAAATAATGAAAATTATTGAACAGATTTTTTTTCCCCAAAAAAACCTGCATAGCCATGTTAAATTTGCAAACATTACATGATGAAAGTTTCACAGACAATTACAATTTCTGATGATGCATTGGTAATTAGAAAGACAATTAAAGTATGATAAAAGGCCTTTTATAAAAATTCAAGTAATATTCTCAAATTTTCAAGTCTATAACAACCCTGTCTTTAATACATAAGTAGATTTATTAACTCAATAAATCCTGAAATTTCATAATGAACTATTCCAACCTTTGAATTGGAAGAGTTCAAATGTACATGTATCTGCAGGGGTGAATGAGTTAAGTGATGTACAATAATACCAGTTTCCCAAACTTGATACCAAAACATAATATTCTGTAACTTCAAACCATGTATGCCATTCATCGCCATTCATCATATTCATAGTGTCGAACTGTGATGAGTCAATATCGTAATGAATCATTATCTAATTAGTACAGTACATCTGAAAATTAGGCTGACTTGGAGGAAATCTTGGACACGTTCCATTGATAGAGTGTTATGGTACAAGGTGCTCCCACGTCTAACGAACACGTCTTAATTAGTGGAACAGTAATTAGTGGAATTTGATATATGTGTAGATCATGTCTGATGTCTGTCAACTACTTTATAGATGCCATACTGTCCCCGGTATCTTCAGTAACCAATTCACCCATAAAGTCACATTTGAACCTTACCAAATCAAAGACTGGGAAAGTCCAGTTTCAATATGTAGGGGTGAATGGGTTAATACATGTACAGCCACCACTAATCTTGTTGTTCTGTAGTACTGTATCCAGTCAAGTGTCTTGGGGGACAGTTTTCCATTTTTCTATATAAAATGTCCAAGTTCTCAAGGCATTCAACAATCCAGACATTTTATCAGTCAATGTAACAGGCTGTTTTTTGAGGCCCAAATGTGCATACATATATATACCGAAATTATCCTGCATTAAGCCCATGGGGTCAGCACATAAACTTTGACTCAAAGTACGGGGTGGGCTTATATTATTGCAGGACAATGAACACCATTTCTAACCTTTTCCTACTAATCTTTATTTGATATGGATGGGCTTATTACCAGGCATGGGCTTATTGCTGGATAAATACGGTATATACTCTTGTTACATGTAATTATCTAAGTTTGGATGGCAGTATCTAAATAAAGCATATGTCATTTGCCTAACAGTGTAACTATTTGTAGACCATGATCATTATCTACCAGTACGAAAATAAATAAATGTAAGTTT